GGGTATAGCACAGTGGTACACTGCTTATCTAGCATGCAGGAGTTCCTAGATTCGATCCCCAACACGCAAGCACATGCATGCATGCACATACGCACACATTTACTTTATACACAGAATAAATATATCTGTTGTTGACAAGGAAATAACCACAGGGCAGACTTACCTAAATGCTTTAAATTTTGCAAAGAAACTCTATCTTCTTCTTCATCACTATTGAGAAAATCAGCTACAGATGAATCGTCATCTGAGGAATGTAGAGCACAATCAACTGCTCAGGACTCAAAGCCAGGCACATGATTCTAACTCTCGCTCCGGATAAAAACATATATGTACACACATGGGACAGGGATGGGGATACATGTAACTAAGAGCAAAATAAAAATAACACCCTTCTCTGGAGTTCACGATTATACTATCTCTCCTCTTGCGCAGAAGTGAAAGGTAAGAACTGGTAATTTTACTTGAACAACAGCATCCCAGCACTGCACACCTCCTCAGGCCTCCTCGTGGCCTCTAGGCTTGAGCTTGCCTGAGCATCCTGTTTCCCCTCACCCTGGCCCCAGCGCTGTAAGGACAAGTGACTAGAAGCTCTAAAACCTGGCAGCAGCATCCCTTGTGCTTCAGCAAGGGCAGAAATCCCTGGCACTGCCTGAACTCAACCTGGAAGTTTCTCAAAGGATAGAAGTGGCCCATCCCTTTGCTGTGAAGCTTCAGTGCCTCTTTGGTGAAACGAGAGGGGCTGCTTGCATGGCCTGGCATAGTGCACAACACTCAGAGGTATTAAGGAAATTCTGGATGGGCAAACAGGTAAGTGAACAGATGGGTGACAGCCTCTGCCACACTAAGCTCTAGAGAGCCCCCAGCAGCAGCGAGGTGACCCAGGACAAAGGAAGCCTCCTGCCTGAGCCTTACACAGGTGAAGTGACAGCCCAGCCAGGCCTGAAGGAATACCCAAAGCTGTGACTGGGAGAGGTTCCTGCCAGCAGAGCCCATCACAAACACCCAGAGCACAGCAGGGCCTTCCACTGCCTCCTGCCCCTGTATTTCCCTTCTTGAACAATGCAACCAACCAACCTTTGTTTTCCTCAAGCTGTGCAGCTTTCACAAGAGGAACCGATCTTCTTTTCTCAACAGGACGAGTTTCAAGGTTGCACTGCTCTGAAAACAGACAAAATGTTAGGTACATGTCTCCTCTATTTCTTCCAAAGTGGCATCTCCCACCAAACTGAGGGGTAAGCATGTATAGGCTAAAGATGGATACATAGGAGTAGGATAAGGAAAGCCATGAGCAACCCTAAGCCTGACAGGGCTGAGGAAGCTGGGCTCATGCATCCCAAGACCCTGTCCCCATAGCCCTGCCCTGCCTAACCTCATAAGCCTTTCATCATAATTCAGTGGTACACTGACTTCAATGAGCATCACATGGCTTTCTCAGCCAGCTGAGATAGCAAATATGTATGCAGCATGTGCCAGCGGGACCACACAAATGAACACACCACTCCCACCCTGGAGGGCTTTAGTCATAGACAACAGCAAGCGAGGTAAGTTAAGAAGGACTATATCTGAATTCACCTGAG